ACAGCATCAACATTCTCAGATAATCCTGGTTTTGAAGTTATCAGACATGATTCTAAAAAATAATTGATTGGTATTTTTAAGAACAGATGACAAGACGGAAATTTCACCAGAGAATTGAAACCTATAAAAAGAGTCATATGGAAATGACAGGACTGAAAAAAATAACTGAAATGAAGCATTCCCTGGTTAGCTGAACTTCTTACACAGCAGAAGAGAGAATTCATGGTGGGGAAGACAGGTTCATAGAAAACACTGAAGTGGGGAGAGAGAGAAAAAATACAGAAAACAGGCAAAGAGTGGGAGATGCATGTGAAACAGAGAAAGGGTCTAGTACGAATGTTATCAGTGTCTCAGAAGGAGAGAGAAAAGAGAAGGGGACAGAGGACACTTTAAGAACCACTAGCCAAGTAAGAAGAAAATGTTTTCTTTACCTCGTTTTGTCCTAAAAACTTTCTTTTTTACACATTACTTATATATTTATTATTATGTCTGGGTTGAAGATGATTCACCATGGATGATGTTTGAAGTTTTTTCCTCCTTATGAAATGTTGAAGGGACAAAGTACCTCCTCACAGGTCATGGCAAAATTTCTTGAAATAGCCGTGGCCTAAATAGAATTAAATAACAAAAAGCGAAACATAGTTCTTAAAGTTTATTTTGTTAGTGTTGTGAATGCTGGTACATCAAACCATCCTGTGATGATTCAAATTATGTTGTAATGTAACCTCTATTATCCTTTTTGTGGAGCTTAACTTTTTTTTTAAACATTTTTAGTTAAAAAATTTCTTCAAATAGTTATCTAACCACTCTATCTTACCTTCAGATCAACCGATAATCTGTTTCCTATGTATTCAACTATTCAAATGTTTTTCATAATAGTTTTTAAATAGAATAACTCATTAATTATGGCAGCATTTCAATGCTGAAGAATTAGACATACATTTATATTCAACTTATTTATAGAATTAAAACATATTCTATACACAAGGAGATACTCCAAAATACATCTAAAATGATGACTTATACTTGAAGGTAAATATTTGAATATTGTGCTAATTATTACTGACATTTTGGTGCTAATTAGATATGACAGTGACTCTCAAGGTCACACAATTATTGGCTGTCACAAACTCATGGATGCCAGGAGTTATGTTGAAGTATGCCTGTGGCTCTTTGGCCTTCTCAAGTCTGAGGCTCAATACCAAGGCCAAAACTAGTTCCCAGCCCATGCATACTATCCCCCATTTCTCAGGGGGTCTTCTACCAAAATGAATGTATAAACTAAGAAAGAAGAAAGCGTGAGATTCAGGCAACACGAGGTCCAGCTTAATGGAGGGAGGAAGCAAATCTCTAATTGATGGCGAAAGGAGGCTTTGGGTCCACAGCTGTGAAACAGGGGTAGCTGGCAACCAGTCCAGAGGATCCAGAGATAGAGCTCCAGGAAGTTGAACTTGATAGAATATCTGATGTGTCTGAAGGACAGGGGAAGTGGGGAAGGGTTTAGATGGAGAGGTGAGAGCTGAGGTTAGGGTTAGTGTTAGGGTTCGGGTTAGGGTTAGGGTTAGAGTTAGGGTTAAGGTTAGTGATAGCTATGGAAAATTGTATCAGATACGCACTCTATGAGCCTCTTCTAGCTGTTGCTGCAGTGGGCCAACCAGCAGTCCCCAGAGTTTGTGTTCTCCCATCACGGCCAGTGTTGGATGAGACCCTTTGCCACGGGGTGTGGGACCTGGGCAGCCCAAGAAGAGACCGGATAATGCAACCTGGACGTGCCTGGAAATACATTCACGTTGAGAAAACATTACCAAAGTGAGAGACCAGAGACAGGAAGGAGGCGACAGATGAATTTTCTTTCCTTCTTCTCTTCCATGGCAGATGCTAAGATGTGGTTTCACCTTGCAGCTCGCTCAGTTGGAGAAATCGCAGGTGCAAATGAACATACCTGGCCACGCCACTGGCTGCAGCTCTTCGTGGCTCTCGTGTCACCAAGGTGGTGACACACCACTTTGCATTGTTGCCCGTCTTCAAAAGATACATTTAAAAACACATTTCCAGTGCTAGTTGTGGTAAAGGGCAAGACTGTGGTTGTGTTGCTGTTCACTCTAAGCTGGAGTTAGGGTAAGTGTATGTTTCACTTCTAAAGGAACTTGCAGTTTTCTGGAGTAATTGTGCCTTTTTCTATTTCCTCTAGCTCAGGTGATTTGCCTGTGATGCTCCTCAAAGGAGTGGCCGTCTCGTCAGAACTTCCTGCAGTCGGCAGTGGGCCTGCATCACCTGCAGTGATGGTGAGGAGCCCCCGGCTGGTGCTGCGTGAGTCAGACCCAGCCTGCACCCTCACTCCGAGGCCACTGAGCATCAGACACGGGGCTTCCCCCTGCCCGGGTGGACTCTGCCCTGTCCCTGGCGGGAGTCCAAATCAGAAGCCAGGGCCGCGGACGGAGCTGCTTGAAAGCACCCTCTCGGGCGGGAGCTTCTGTTGTGCCGGCCAAGGAGCCTCGTGGTTTCCCAGGACGGCGTTGTCCAGGCTGGTGGCTGGAGTTGTCCAGGGCGCAGACCCATCGGAGGGAGGGATTGTGTTAGCCCGGGAGGAGGCACCCACTAAGCACCAGATGCCCCTCTCGGTCCTTTATGAGCACGGTCGCTAACCCCACAACAACTCGGCAGGTTTGTAAGTCTTGTTCTGTTCTGGAGATGAGAACCTGGCGTTCAGAGAGGTCAAGTAACTGGCCAAAGGCACGGAGCACTAACTGGGGGATCAAAGATCCATCCATCCATCTGTCCAGTGCCCTGTGTTTCCCACTAACATCCCACTGGCCCCCTTCCAGGAGCAGGCCAGGCAGTGGTGCTGAATGCTGAGAACAAGCAGTTGGTGCAGAGGTTCCTGGGGAGAAGGGCCCCAGCATCTGTCTGCTCCCAGATCACTGCCACAGCCGGGGCTAGGGGACAGCTCGAGCCAACAGCAGCACCTGTGAGGCTCCGGCAAAGGGCTTCATCATTGTCATTGTCACAGCTGTCATTGTGGTTTGGCTGCACGCTCCACAGCCGATGAAAGCCTTGCACATCCCTCCTTTTATTTGAACTATGACACCTTGCCAAGTAGATGTTAACGATTCTCAGAATGAAACTCAGAAATGTCCTTCCTCCCACAATCTTCCTTCCCCGTGAGCGGTCAGGGTAGCCCCTCTGGGGGGCGGGAGGGAGGAGCCAGCTCCCCACCTGGGCAGTGAGGGGCCCGGCCAGGTATCTGTGGACAGACGAACGGACGGACGTGAGTCCTCACCCAGGTGAGGCCGAAGACGCCAGGCCCCGGGGATCAGCTAGCATTTGAACCCAGCCGCAGAACAGCAAATATTGATTCAAGAAGCTGCCCAAAGGAGCTGACATTTTTATAGTCAACAAATCAAACCCAGCCCCTCCCAGCACCCCCGGGCACAGGCCCTTCCTCTCCAGGGTGCCAGGGCCCAGCTCTGCCACTGCCCTGGGAAGAGGAGGAAGAGCAGGTGGGAAAGGTCCACAGGGCCTGGCTGGCGTGGCCACTTCACCTTTGGAGGGGAGGAGGAGCCCCCCCTGCAGGGGTGGGACCTGGGGAACCAGCCAGCCAGCCTGACAGGTGTCAGAATCCCCTGGGACAGAGCAGGACCTGGGCTGAACCCCAAGGACAACAGACACACACCCCACACAGCTTCCTCCTGGGGTGGCTCTCTGCTCTGTAGCACGGCCTGGGGCCCCTCATTCATGGATGAGGAACCTGAGGCCCAAAGAGAACAGTGCCTCTCTAAGGTAAACAGCAGGTGGACAGGGAGACCCCCTCACCTTCTGTTCAGGCAGAAGGAGGGTCCAGGCAGCCGCAGTAAGCAGGCAGACGCTGCCCTTGCCCTCTGGCTCTGCCCACATGAACTGAAGCTGCACTCACGCGCCTGCCTGCATCCTTTGCTCCAGCAGGTCTCTTACCTGGAGTCGCTCCCTTCCATAACCTCCTTGGAATGCTGCTCACCACTCCCGCCCGGCCCTCGCTGAGTGCTCCGAAGCACAGGCTGGTTCCCGTTGCTGCCACTTAGGCGGCTGCGCCTGGGGTGCATCATCCTGGCCTTGTCTCAGTCCTTCCAGACCAAGAGCCCCAGCGAGAGCAGCGGCTGCGCTGGATCCCTTCCTGTTGCCTCAAAGAGCCTAGAAAAGTGCCTGGTGTTTAGCAGACCTTCGGTGTCTGTGGAATTGAATTAGAACAACCCAAGACACTCAATGCAGAAACCCAGGAGCAAACTCGGCTGCGTGTGAACCAGGGAGGAGGCCGAGGAGCCTGGGCGGCCCACGGCAGGAAGGAGGCATGTTCCTTCTCTGCTTGCTCAGGCTCAGCCTGCTCAGCCTTGTCCTCATCCATCCAGCCATCGCTGAGGGGTTGAGCCTCTGGGTGGGTCAGCCCTGGCTGGGTGCTGTGAAGGCAAAGGCGGGGAGCTCGCGCTCTGCATTCTGTGTGGAGCTTCTGGAGCACACGGGTATCCTGGCCAGGGACCCAGAGGCACTGGAGGGTGCATCTTCCCGCCCAGTGGTGAGGTGTTTGCATGGAGCTAGCTCAGGGCAGAGGTGGTGCAAACCCCTCTGAGCTGGGCACACAGTGCAGATTTCATCACCTACATGAGACCCTCTAGGACTCTCTCTTGTCCTGAGCAGGCAGTTCTGTGGCCTAAGGCCATAGGGCCACCCAGGGATCAGTAGTGGGGGCGCTCCCTAGTCTCCACAGGAGGCCTCCATATATGGTAAGGGTGTGTCCAAGGCGACTGTCCCTTCTGTCACCAATTCTCAGACATCAGGAAGGGAAGAAAGGGCATGCAGACCAGCAGTTGATCTTTAGGAAGTTGACCCAGGAGCATTTGTTTTTTGATCATATCTGGTCTGCCTAAACGTTGTCATGTGGCCATACCTACCACAAAGGCCTCTGGGAAATGTAGTTTCTTGTGGGGCAGCCACACACCCAGCCCCCCCCCCCCCCCCCCAAGCTGGATCGCCAGCTACCATCCAACTCTGAATGACCTTGGGCGTCCTTTTCCTCATCTGTAAAAGAAGAGTTTCAGACCACGGATCACTGAGGTTCCCTCCAGCACTGCCACTTGACGTCCGTGGTTACAGGTGAGTTATTCAACCTCTCTGGGTATCAATTTCCTCATCTAGAAAAGAGAGATTAAAATAGTTCTTACCTCAGAGGCTTGTTGTGAAATCATCCCGGGTTATGCCTGACATATAAGAAATAATCAATAAGTGCTTGCTATAATCAAAATAATCTGAGTTCCGTCTGTCATTTCCTTAGGAAGAATCTGATGTACTGGCTCATACTGAGGCCTCACACAGGGTCAGTAAGTACTTGGCACAATCCCTGCTCTAATCCTCCCTCTGTAACAGGAACAGACGTCGTTAATCCATCAAGACGTTCTCCGTGTGAGCCAGGAGCCAGCCTCACAGGCCTCCATGCAGCCCCGCCAATCAACCCAAGATGGCACCCCCTCCTCCAGGAAGCCTCCTTGCTTCAGCCCCAGGTATGCTCCCCGCCGCCTGCACATGCTCCTCTCGTGCTTGTGTCATGCTCGCCGGTATTTCCTTTTTGCCTGCCTGTGCCCCAGCTAGACTGAGGGCTCTCCAAGGTCCAGCCCAGTGCCTGGAACATTGTATATATTGAAACAATGGATGCTAGACCCTGGGGCTGGCAAGTGGGGAGATGTTTAGGGGTGGGCAGTGGCTACGGGACCACCTCACAGAAGACCATGTTCCCTGCCTCCGGAAGCTGCCACAGGAGCTGTGGGGCGGGTCTCCCAGCCCAATGGCCCCTGCAGGGCGAGCTGGACACTCCCGAGGGATCTGGGCAGCCAGCACAGGTGGGGACCGAACCAGGCCAGTGAACATGGTGGCCCCATGATTGCTCTGAGGGACCTGCCCTCCCCAGGGCCTGTGTTGTCAGCCTGCACCTCAGGCTCCAGGCTGCAGGGCGACTCCCAAGTGAGCCAGGCACCTGCTTTCTACTCCAACAGACTGACACTCAGTATCACCTTGGCGACATAGAGAATGAGGGGGAGGGGAGCGGGGGACCTGCCGCCACCTGCCTGGTTACCCCAGAGAGGTGCTCGCTGCTGGGGCTCAGGCCGGCGGGGTAGGGGCTGTGGGCACACTGTCCCTGAGCTGCGTGGGGTGCCCACTCCTCTATGGAAGACAGGACTCTTTCTCACTGATCTTTTACTAAGCCTTTACGAGGTTCAGAAGGTTAACGTTGAAGGGAACAGCCGTGTTTATCTTTCGTTTTCGGCTGATTTCTTCAGTGGCCTTTATGTGTAGGAAGTTCTTTACCATTCGAACCGGCCCGTGCTTCTCTGGTTTCCTGCGACAGCTTCGCCTCTTTCTCGGTGTTGGCCCAGCCCGCCCCGGGTTGGCAGGTGGCTGAATGCTTCTGGGCTTCTGTTTCTCCAGAGCGAGGGGGTTGGGCTAAACCAGACCTTCCCCACGCCGTCCGACATGCTTCGTGGAAAACGGGTTTCCTGGGCAAAGACATTTGGAAAATGCAGGTTGCATCAAAAGTTCTGAGAAATCATACAATAAAACAGCGATTTGCAACCACTGTGCCGCAAGAATTTTGACAACACGCAATACCTGCCTGTTTGGTCAGGGGCACGACCTCTTTTCCGGCTCAGGGGATGCCTCGTTACCTGTGGTCACCCCCTTCCACAGAGGAGCAAAGGGAGGCTCTCCGCCAGCTGTTTTAAGCCTGATTTTGTCCCCATTGAACTTTAACCCCTGTTCAATGGGGTCTGAAGAGATAGTCAGAGGCCATAATATTGCCGTGGGCTTGCGCCTCCTTCAGCTGTCCCCCTAGTAGTTGACATTTGTTCCTGTTTTACCTTAAAATGCGAACAACGCAATGATGGACAAACTTGCCCATTTTGCATGTTTTATTTCCTGGAGGTAGATTTCTGGAAGTGGCGTCACCAGGTGAGAGGATGTAAACTCGTTACTGTTCGTCCTGTGTGTTGTCAAGTAGGTTTCCAGAAAAGAAAGGCCGAGCCCCCACACCCCCAAGCAGTGTGGGCCGCGCCAGCCGAGGTGGACCAGTGACCCGCTAGGGCCTCCGTCCTGTTCTCATCCATTGGGACGACCCCTGAAACGGACCTGACCCAGCCTCGCGCTCATGAAAACAGGTTAACCAGTAACTGGAAGTAGTCAGTCCCATAGGCCCGTGGAAATCCCCGGGCCCCTTCCCACAGAACCCTAATTGTCATAGATAATAAATCCAGAGGGAGTGGCGAGTCCTGCCAGCACTCTCGCGTCAGCAGCTCTGTGCTGCGGTCTCAGGTGTCATCTGCTGGGACAACGCCAGTCCTGGTGAGAAATATGGGGCTTGGAGTCTGTCGTCATCAAGCCAGGCAATCATCATCATTCCCAACATGGATTGAGTATTTACTCAGGACATTGTGTGGATTAACTAGTCCAATTCTGATGATAATCCTAGGAGGGAGGCTTTCTCACTATGCCCCTTGTGGCAGTGGGATGAGGAAACGAAGGCACAGAAAGGTTGAGTAACTTGTCTGAGGTCACACAGTAAGTAGGTTGTGAAGACCCAGGGGCTGGGGCTGAGACAGGGGAAGCAGTGGGCCTGTGTCCGGCTCAAGCTCAGCCTCTGCAGCTGAGGAGTGAGCAGGCAAGCTCCTAAACTCCCTGAAACTCCGAAACTGCCTGTAAAACCAGGACACGGACAGTTTCCAGTGCGGTAGGGTGGTGCCTGCTGTCCTGGCCTGTCCCTGAGCCTCCTCTGCTGCTGTTCCTCCCGCAGCCGCCTCTGCTTCCTTAGCTCTCTGCGCAGAGGGCTGCCCGAGCCTGAACCCAGCTTCCCCAGCGCCTGCCTTTTGCATAGGACACAGCTCTGTCACCTTTGGGCCTCTGAGGAGCCCCCTCCTGGGCCCTGCCCACCACAGGATCACGTCCCTCTTCTGTAGGGGTCCCCCTCCCCACCCCGACCTCCCCGTGGCCTATGGCTTTATCTACTCCACTCTTGACCAGCGCCCCCCATCCAGACCTTTCCTCCAGCCCACAAAGGGGGCAGCAGAGCAGGGTGAGGCTCAGGAATGTGCTGGTCCTGGTGGGAAATGCATGTCTCCTGTGGATCCAGCTGCAAAGTACATATGAAGCAATTATTTACCAAAGGAAAAGGCAGTAAAGGAGCTCAACAAATATTTGCTGAATGGGGAACACAAACGCCACTTTCCGTGATGCACGCTCAGAAGCATCTCTCATGGGAAAGCACTTTGACTCTGAGGGCCCTGCACATGTGCATGGGAGCCCTGAGCCCTGACCCGCAGGTGTGCATGGGAGCCCTGAGCCCTGACCTGCAGGTGTGCATGGGAGCCCTGAGCCCTGAGCCCTGACCTGCAGGTGTGCATGGGAGCCCTGAGCCCTGAGCCCTGACCTGCAGGTGTGCATGGGAGCCCTGAGCCCTGACCTGCAGTGAGACACAGGAGCCTCTGGGGAGGAAGTGTCTGGTGCAGTGACTTCCAGTGAGTCCATGGCAGCTGGTGTCGAGGCTGATGTGCTAAGTACCCCAAAGGGACTCAGGAGGCACTGGAGTGAGTAAATGCCCACAGTCCCTGTGCTAGAGGGGCTTCTCTGAGCGTCTGGCCTTGAGGACCATGTCCCCGAGCTCACTGCCCTGGGACGCGACTGCTGGATACCTGCCTGGGAACCTCAGGGAGGGTGAGGAGGGTGGGGGGGCAGGAAGGAAGGCAGCTTTTATCCAATCATAGAGCCCCTCTCAGCCCAGAGGCACCAGCATTTGTGCCCAGGATGGGGAGGGCTTCCCTCCCTCCCAGGCTTCCACCAGCAATGCCAGAGAAGGTCGCCCCTCCTGACTCCCAAAGGGATGCTGGGGTCTTGGGGGTAAACTGCTGAGGATCGCAAATAGCCTGGTGACCTGAGGTCAGAGATTCACTCTCTCACACACACACACACACACACACACACACACACACACACGTACGCACATGCACGTACACACACGGGTTCTGTGGGTGGCACATCCTGCAGCTCCAGGCCACTGGAGACAAAGTCCTGCACATCCCTGCAGGCTCATGAGCCCAGGGAAGACTTGTGGGGAGATGGACAAAGGGTGGGTGAGCGTTTGGAGGGGCGTCTCCAGCACAAGCTGGAAGAGCAACGCCCGGAGACTGGACTCGAGGACGCTAGCTTGGAGGCAGTGGTGGCCGAGACTGAGCTGGGGCAGTGGGTCCAAGAGAGAGGACTCGGCGAGGGCAGCACGGGGTGGTGGAGCATGTGAGTGGTTGGTTGTGCTGGGGTCTGGGAGGCCAGGGCGGCAGGCAGTGCCCGGGCAGATTGGAGCCATTGCCCACCTGCTGGTTCTGCTCGTGGCAGGTGGGGACAGATGGAGTTAGGCCTGGGGCTGGGGGCCCTGGATGAGAGCAACATTACTGGGCTGGTCGGCAGGCATTCCAGCGGGAGAAATCGCTTCTGCAGGGCCTGGAGGACTGAATGGGCATGATGAGTACAGACGATGGTTATCAGTAAAGCCCTGCTGGGGGGCTGGGTGACTGTGAGTGACCCTGGGGAGAAGGCGTTCACCTTGGAGAACAGTGCAGGCAGCTCTTCGCTGAGGGCTTTATAGCCTCAAGCTGCATGTGATGGGCGTGTCCTGGCATTCTGCAACATGCCATCTTTTGCCCAGGACCTTCTCTTGTCTTGCCCTCAACCTCCCCTGCCCCTGAGTTTGGCCCTTCCATGACAGTCCAGCTCTGGGCACCTTTCCCAGCCACACTGCAGGGGCTGGAGCTGCTTCAGCGGCGCGTGGAGGGCAGGGGCCCCAGGAGGACTCAGCCAGGGGGCTGGTGGAGAGCTGTCGGTGGGTGGCAAGACCCAGCGCTGAGGCTGAAGCATAGAGAAGGAAGGGCAACCTCCCCCACCCCGACCACTGATCGCCAAGTGGGCGCCACCTCAGAGGGCACCTGGGTACCAACAGGGCGGCTGGTCAGAACCAGGCATAAGAACCAGGGCAGAGATGGAGCCGCACCCAGGGGTGGGGCAAAGGCACCAGTGAGGGCTGCCTGCCCTGGGCAGCAGTGTGGGGCCTGCGGCCCTGTGACAGGCCAAGCCTATGGCTACACCGTCTCCCTCTCATGTAGCCGGCGGAAGCTTTTGGAAAGCTGGGCTGCCAGGGAGGAGGGGGCGGGGGAACCCAACTCCACCCCCCGGGGAAGGGGTGCTCACCCCTTGGACTGTTTGCCTCTGCACGGGGTGAAGGCTGGTACGTGTTGCCGGCCTGCTCACACTGACAGCTGATATTTACGGTACTTGGGGCTTTCCCTCTGATGGGCACTGTGCTATGTGTTTTGAAAACGTTGCCTCCTTTAATCTTCATACCCGCTCTGCATGGGAGGTGCTGTCCGCATCCCTACTTAGAGACGAGAAACCACGCACAGGGCAGTTGCACACAGGGCCAAGGCCATGGCCGGCAGCGAGGAGCCGTGCCCGGGACCAGTGCACGGTGCCCTCAGCCCTGAGCTGTTCCCGCACTGCCTGCCTGCCCGCTGCGGCCCAGCCCCCACGTTCACCGCAGCAATGGCTGATGGGGAGTGGGCGGCACTGGGTCGCTGTCGGGGTGGGGGAACCTCTCAGCTAAGCCATCCTGCTCCGCCCTCTCCCCTCGCCCACCTGCCCAACTGGTTAAGCAGAGGTGGGGCATCTATGACTTGGGCCGCCCTCCTGGGCTGAGAAGCCACCAGGGGCTGAGTTCCGGAGATGCTCTTGGGACCGGGGACCCTCAGAGGCCCAGGGTAGTTGGCTGTGGGCGAGGCACTGGCTCTTGCAGCCAGGCACTAATCCGAGAGGAATACTTGGTATTTCCAATCATTCCGGCTGGAATTAAACTTAAATCAGGCCCCAAAGCACAGCCAGGAGAATGTGAGCAACTTGCCAAAGAAACCAGGCCTGCGCAGAGGCTGGTCTGCTCCGCAGGAAGTGTGTGCCGGAAAGCAGGAGGGGGAGGCGCGCACCCCTGCACTCCCAGGCACCCCCCATCCTCAGCCCCACTATCTGGGCGCGTCCCTGGTAAACCACCCAGTGGTCGGGTAACAGGCACCTCAGCCGGGGAGGCAGCCGGGGGTCAGAGCTCTGGGTCTCACCCGGACTCTGCTGCTATCACAGGTCCCTTTGCCCAGGGCCCCCTGGTTATAGTTGGTGGCATAGAAGCAGCCCAGTTTCGTGGCTGGGAACATGAGCAATGGAGCCAGTGTGCCCAAACCTGACTCCATCACCCAGTGTGTGACCACTGGCCCATGACCCTCTAGGCCTCAGTTTCCTGGTTTGGAAACATGAGATCATTGGGTGTTTGTGAGCATGAGGTCGGTAAATACACGTGAAGAGCTGTGCCTGGCTGATGCAAGCACTGTGTGTGAGCCATTGTCATTCTCCTGGCCTCCGTTTCCTCACTAGCAAGATGAGGTTGGGGTGGTACTTGACCCCAAGGCCCTTCTCCAAGCGACGTTCTCTAGCCATGGACCAGGCCCTGCCCCCCAGAAGAGCACTTCCTTCCCGGGGGAGGTGGGGAGAGACTGGCTGGGCAGAGAGCATGGCGTGCTCTCCGAGCCGCAGCTCATCCAGTGGCTGTGCGTACAGGGAGAGTGTGCGTGTGCGTGTGTGTGTGTGTGTGTGTCCAGGTGGAGTGCAGACAGACAGCGTTTGGTTCTTTGTGGAAGTGCAGATGAGAACGCACCTTGGCAGGAGCCTGTCTGATGGGCAGGGGAGTAACCCAAACCTGCAGGGAGGGCTGAGAGTTAAGGTAGAAGGTGAAGATGTCCGGCAGAACCTAGAGGAGGAGCTGGAGAGTGGAGGCCGGGCTAGGTCCTCAGCGGGGGACACTGACCCCAACCTCTCTGAGGCTTTTATGTCGCCACAAGGCAGGTGAGGCTCAGAGGAGCCCCCCGAAGTCATCAGTGGTCCCGTTTGGACTCGAGAACTCCTGTCCGACCCCCAGGCCCGGGCTTTGGTGCTGTTCCAGGCTACTCCTTGGGGGAAGGCAGACAGACCCGAGAGGCTGCCACCGGCCCTCGCTCTGCCCGGCTCAGGTACGGGAGGCTCGCTGCCCAGGCAGCAGGCGGTGTTGGGTGGGCACCCGGCTCCGGGGGGCAGTGGTCGCAGCTCCAAGTGCTGAATGGCAGTGCCCCAGGCCTGGGGGAGGGAAGCTCTTTTGAGGAGAAGAGGGCCCGGACTCACGAAGCCAGGGCAGCCAGAGGCTCCAGCAGGGCAGCGAGGTGGGCAGAGAGCGGCCTCTGCCTTCACCCGGGGTATTTACATTTTAGTTCTGTTTACAATGTGCTCTCTGGGCCACTCAGGTACCTTTCTGAGCCTCCGTTTGCACATGGGCCCTGTGGGGCCCTGACTCCAACCCTGGCCTCGCAGGAAGAAGCATGTGGCGTCGGGGTTAAGAGCACAGCCTTGGCACCTCAGCCTTGACCCTTGGCAGCTGTGTGACTCTGGGCCCGTCACAGCCTCTCAGCCTCTGTCTTCTGCGTGAAATGGGATTACCGTGGTCTCTGCCTCAAGGGCCTCTATTAACTCAGATCATCCCCATGAAACACTGAGAACAGCACTTGGCACAAAGAAAGGGCTCGTAAGTCCTCGTGACTGTTGCAGTTGCTGCGGTTTCATAAGGCTGTCCGTCCGGAGAGCTCGCTCGCTCACTTGCTCGTTTCTTGCACAGAGGCAGTGCTGAGCTGTGGAGAGGTCTGAGGGAGGTCTGCGGGAGGGAGCAGGTGTATAATTGTTTGCACTTCTTCCCTTTGAGATAACACATTTCATCCCATTGACTTTGGACTTGACCGTGAGACAGGGACTGTGAAGATGTGATGATGTTCTCCAGGCCTCAGCAGAGCTCAAAACGTAGCGAGAGGGTTTCCACATCGCACTTGCTTGTTTCCTCTGTCACGGAAGGGGTTGCCCCCGAGGGGCAGCTCCTCCAGCCTGGGCCCCGGAATGAGAAGTTGTGGGCTGCCGGAGTCCATTCATTGTCTTCACTAGCTGAGTTTAGACAGAGACCCCCAAAAGCTAGTAACCTTTGAATTCCTAGCAAAGGTCAGAACTGCACCACCCAGTTAATCTAGGAACCACCCAGTTAATTTAGGTAATAATAGCTGAAGCATCCCCACCTTAGTTCCCTTAATTCCTTAGATACTTGTGTAGATCCTTGTTGATTATTGTTGATCAGATATTCTGCCTATTTCTGGAAATTGTCTACCAATGAGCTAATCCATGTGTCATTCAAACCTCCTTACCCTAAGGCTACCCCGGACAAACCTCCTTACCCTAGGGCTACCCAAGACCGAAATAAAAAGCTTGGAGCGGCCTGAGCATCGGTGGAAGTCCTTCGGGACTTGCCCGCCTGGTCCCCCAATATTGCAAAATTATCTTGTGTCTTTTTCTTTCACTTGTGTGCGGCTCCTCTTTCAGATACCGAACCCTACTCCACGCAGAACGTGGAGGACGTGACACTCAACAGTGGGCAGAGCCACAAGGGCCACAGTTGACCGCCAGCCACATGGGGTGTGAGCGAGAAAGCCAGGTTGGTTGTTGTGAGCCCCTGAGCGTTGGGGCTGCTCGTTACCACAGCCACAAGGACCCATACCGACAGGATTAAGAGGAAGGGCCTCCGAGGAGGGGTCCCACGACCTACTGGAGAGGAGGAGGCAGGGCTTGGAAGCTGATGTGAAGGAAGCGATGGGAGCAGACAAAATGCGGCACACACAGCCTGGCACACATGTGCACACATGTGAAACACAAGGGAACTTCCACACCATCTGCCCTTCTTTCCCACTAGATGGACGGCAGCAGGTAGTTGGAGCGAGCTCGCTTTCCTGCAGGGTCCCCTAACCCACCCCTCCTGGCCTGGAGCTAGCAAGCTCTCCCCCACCCCACCCCCACCCCCCAGCCCGGGCGCCTCCCTTGCTCCTGGCCCTGATTCCTGGGTCGCTCTCCCTGAGCAAGTCCAAGAAGCCCTTTGCATTGGCCTCTGTTTTGTTTGCTTTCACTTGTGCCATCCTGCTGTGGGCAAGGAGGAGGCGAGCCAACATCAGCCGCTGCCACAGACCAAGGGCAACATTTCCTGGCCTCCGGTTGGGATGTGGTTCCCTTCCCGTGGGTCGTCCTCCCAGAGCCAGGTCTGTAAATGGTTGGCTGCTGCGCTCTCTCCGGCCCGGCGGAGGTTTGTCTCAGAGTGGGCCCTGCGGTCTCTGCTCCGTGGCCTGCCCTCCGGCCCCCGCAGGTCTCCCGGTGGGCACTGCGGCCGGGCAGGCTCTGCCATCTTGCTTTGGGAAGAGGGGCTGTGCGTGAAGCCTGACCTCACTGGCCTGGGAAAGGTTTCCATTCGGAGCACTTTCCACCCAGGAGGCAAAGCAAACATCTGGCCGCCCAGTTCCCTTGGCCCCTGCCAGCCACCCCACTCGGGGATTCCAGGCAAATTCCATCATTTCTCCATTTCCTTTCCTCCCCGTCTAGCGGAGCCTGGGCCGTTTTGTCTTCCCTCCCATCGGGGAGCCATTCACAGCCTCTCCCTGTGTCTGCCCCGGCCCTGGCGGGAGTTTTCCTGTGGCTTCTGTGGCCGCCACCCTGTCATTCACCACCCAGTGCTGCAGGCTCCCCAGCACTAAGGACTCTCCCAGCTAATCTCAGCCCAGTGTGGTCGCTCCAGGCAATTATCACCAAGGCCTTGGAGAAGCCGCGTCCTTGGCCCAGCAGCTCCCAGCCCCCACCCAGTTCCTGGCAGCTCGGTCCTTGCGTTGGGTGCTTTGGGTGCAAGGACCAGGCACTCAGCGGCCTCAGGCGTTGCCTGCAGGACGGAGGCTGGGGCGGCCCAGCAGGGCTGTGGGGGCCTCTATTCAGCCCCACAGTCGGGGCCCCTTCACTGGTGCGGCATCCTGTCTGCATCCTCCTTTTCTCATCCTTTTCTCGGCCGCTGCTCCTGTGGCTGCTTCCCAGGCTCTCTCCTCTCTTCTCCATCGCACGTGCTTCCTCGTGGGGTCTCATCTGCCTGCTCGCAGGGTCTTGTGCTCTGTGGCCTCTGCCGACAGGAGCCGTCGCTGTGCGGCTGCTCTGGAGACCCCCTGAGAGGACGCTCTTGGGGCATCCCTGGCACCTAGTCCCACTGGACAGCGGCCTGGGCCAGGCCACCTGGCAGGTCTCTGATGTCCCCATGACCAGCCCATTGACGGTTCTCTTGGAGTCGGGTGCCGACCCCCAGACCAGCTGGTTCTGTATGGCCAGCTGTGTGCTGGCCTGAGCCACAGCACGGTGGCCAGCAGCTCAGGAACTGCCTGTGGTGGCTCCGTCCCGAATGTGGGGTGGGGGGCACTCGCGGACTCCCGCCATCAGATGGCACCAAGAGCGCCTTTAGCTGTCCCACTTAAGACGCCCATCTGTCTCCTGCTGCTCAACACACACTTCCAATAGGGCAGCTCCTCACGTGTGCCCAGCTCCCCTGGTTCCGGGGACAGGGTGGGAGCCTTTGGAAATAGCCTGGGGCTGGCTGGGGAGGCTGTGGACTGGGCGGGCCCTGAGAATGGATGGGTGGGGAGGCGCAGGGTGGGGGGGGTGAGGGGGCTGGACGGGCTAGCAGAGTGGAGACAGGACCGCGTCTGGGAAGATGGGGGCTCTCCATGGGTGATTTCAGGAGGGCAGAGGAATGGCAGGGCCTGGAGCAGGGGGCAGATGGTCAGCCCAAGAGCACCGGGTGGTCGATGGTCGTGAGAGCCTGGCGCCATGGCCGTGTGGTATGAGCTTGGCCTCAAGTCCCACAGCCCAGCTTCACTTCCCAGCTTTGCCACCTGCTAGTTCGCTGACCTCAGCCAATCGCTTAATCTCTGCGCCCAGGCTCCTGATCTGTCCCAGGGGAGTAATAAGGCCCTGCTGTGACCCCCTAAGGCGACGCAGGCAGAGGGCACCACACTATATGTCCAGCGGCAGCCAGGCCTGGGCTAGTAGGGATGACGCTTTTGTAACTAACGTTACAGATAAAGTAATAATAATGCCAATCAGCCCTAGCTGGTTTTCTCAGTGGATAGAGCGTCGGCCTGTGGACTGAAGGGTCCCGGTTTCAATTGCGGTCAAGGGCACATGCCCGGATTGTGGGCTCAATCCCCAGTGTGGGGTATGCAGGAGGCAGCCGATCAATGATTTTCTCTCATCTCCCTTCTCCCTCTCCCTTCCTCTCTGAAATCAATAAAAATATATTTTAAAAAATAATAATGCCAATCACAGGTACCAGGAGCCTGGAATGGATGGGTCTCGCGCTTGGTGATTTAGGCCGGAGCTCAGCTGGAGAAGGGGTTCCCAGAGCTAGGAGCTGGGCCTTGGGGACCCTGGCCTGCGTCTGGGGTCTCAGGAAGGTCCCGAGCCCTGGGTGGGGGCCGGGGCAGCTCTCAGGCCAGCCTGGCTGAAGGACTGGCGTGGACGAACCTGCTGGCACTGAATTTGACTCAGCCGTGAGGAGCCCGGACAGAGGTGACAGAGGTGACAGGGAAGGGACCTGCTGCTGGCCCCTGTCCCGTGCAGGGCCCCGAGGCTCAGTAACCCTCTGACAAGCCTGGGGAAGAGGCAGCAGTTGGAGCCACGCCCACAGCAGGGCTCAGGCTTGGCTGAAGGTTCTAGTGACCTTGGGGCTCCCCGTCCCCCTAGAGACCGAGGTGGCAGTTTCTACCAGTGGAGACGTTTCTTCAGCCTCTCCTCTGCGTGGAACCGCTCTCACGCTCTGCAGAGCGTCTCGGCCCCGCCCTGGTTTCTGGAACTCTCCAGCCTGGGCACCGAGCTGCACCCGCATGACGCCAGCGCCTGGACGGGGGGCCTCAGCGCTGACTCAGCGGAGCCCGGGGCCTGTGGCCTGTGGCTGCCCGACTACCGGGCAGGGGTCCTCGGGCTCCCGAGCTTCTGTGCACCTCCTCTGCCCCCTGGACCTCAGAGCTGATGCTGGTCACGGGCTGAGCGTGGAGGCTGGGAATGTAGTGGTTATTCAACTTCCTGAGACGCTGTCACTACGTGATCGCCGTGTGCCCTCGCGGTGACGCTGTGGCACGGATGAGGCAGGTGTCGTCACCCACATTTTACAGGGGAAACTGAGGCTCCGGAGGTTCTATTGCGGCTGCCTGGCCCCTGAGCCCAGGTCAAAGCTGGTGCTCTGTGCCAGGGGTTCCCCAAGATTCTAAAGGAGTGATCTTTTCACAGTCTCCCCAGACGGCAGGTGGAGGTGCATGTAGGAGGCTGGGACCAGGAGGGCAGAGGCTGCGGGCAGAGGCTGCGGGAGAAAAGGAGCAGATCAGGTTGCCCTGTGCAAATAGCGGGAACTTGTCACAGGAAGTCGGCTCCTCTCCAGGCCACGGTTCCAAGGACGGGGGTGGAGGCAGGGTGCTCAGGGCTGCCCAGGGGGGGTCTGGAGGACACCTTGCCCTCAAAAATTCCAGAAAGACTTTGCTCATCAAGAGTGGCCAATGGAGCTAGATGGCCCAATTCAGGTCTCTCTCTCCGGCTCGCCAGGCCCGTGGCTTTGCCGAGTCCTCCAGCCTCGCTGCCTCAGTCTTCCTGCAGTAAATGAACCATCCTTCCTCCAGGAAACGGCCCTTGGTGCACAGTGAGCCCTTAATCACTGTGAGCAACCCGGGGACCAGGGCTGCCTTTACCCCGGTGGCCTCTCCCGTTTCCAGCCTCCTCCTCTGCAGCTCCCGGCCAGGCCCAACGGGAGGAGACAGGCTGTAGGACGAGGGGGGAGATGAGGCAAACCCAGCCCAGGTCAGGTCAGCTCTGCCCCAAAGCTCTGCCTTCCCCTCAGAGCCTCCCCGCGCACCAGTGTGACCGTGGCCTTGCACAGTTCCAGAGAAGGGGGACCCTGTCGGCGTGGTGACAAAGGCGCGGGCCAGGCCAAGCGAGCGGGTGCCCGGAGGCGCTGTCCACGCTGCCTCTCACTGTCCTGGCGTCAGGAAGACTCGGCTCATGTTCTCGGCACTGGAAACTATGCCCTCATCTTGGGCTTTCTCCATCACCACCAGCTCCGCTCGCTTGGACAGCCGCCCCGGGGAATTCGCTCAGCAAAACAAATAGACATGTATTTTGTATCGGATCACTGGCAGCGAGGATGGGTTCTGGCCCGTGGACTGGAGCCGAGGCCAAGCACCGTTCTCCGGAAGCTTGAGGCCTCCCCCTGCATGCAGACCCCAGGTGGGAGGGCACAGGACCGAGGGACAGCGGCTCCACGTGTGCATGGGCCCCCCTGAAGCTCCGGAGCGACTGTCCAAGGTCAAACAGCAAGTTTGGGGGAGCCGCCCCGGGAAGCCAGGCTCCCAGCCCTCCCCGCCCAGGTGCCCCCCGGGCTGGCTTGTGCAGGATGGACATCATCCTTGGATGTTTGCCAGCGCTTGGAGCTTAATGAGGTAGACGCTGATTTAATGAGTAGAAAGGCCAGTTTGGGGATTCTCGGATACAATGATAATCATCATTCCTAAGAAGGACAACAGAGCTTTACAAGATTTTAAAGTAATTTTCTGATCCTCGCAGATCAAATGATGTTTAAGGGAGTGTGGGAGCTAGCAGGTGCTCTGTCTAAAGTAGCCGTCCTCCTCTGGAACACTATCAACAATAAGAAATATATAAAGCAGCCATCGTCCAATATCAGTGTGCATAAAACCAGCCAATCACTGATGGGGCCACCTCCCAGTGGGCCTGGATATGTGACTGACTGCACAGAATATTCTAGCTCTCCAGTGGCTGGACACCCGTTCTTGGAATCCTACTTGAAAAACCAGACAGGTAAGATTGAAGCGCTCACGGTGCGTGCGGG